TAATGTCCCCGTATTATTATCATTTTCAAACCTGACACGTTTGTCGGCCGTGTGCGAAAGAATTATTAATTTCTCGTAAGCGTACGAGAGCGCGCGAACCGGATGTAACGGCATCCGAGCTCGAGGCAAATCGTCCGGAATGCACGTACGATTTCAGCTGGATGGAAAGGGCCTCTTTATTCGGAGAACCGTTCACGGGAGTGTGTTTTATAACGCAGGTTACGTTCGATTCGTTGCCCCATGGTGAATGTGATCGGAAACGAACCAGGGAACAATGCCATGCCGAAATCGCGCGCGCACTATCGACACACATTTTCCGACCAACATAAACATAGCCTATGAATCACAACCAATTCGACGTGTCCGATTTATTTTCGTCGACTGTCTCACTGTAATCACCAAGTGTAACGTATTATACGTGACATGATGGACCGATACGAGGATACAGATTGACACGATTAACGATAGGAGGACCGTTTAAAACTTGTTTTCTCCGTTCGTTCCGTGGAGCAACGGTTTTTGCCATTGCAAACGAACGTTTGGAATGGCGGAAAGAGGTTACGTTGTTTGATCAACGCATACCAGGTACATATTACGCGTTCCTTCGACTAAACATTACACTTGATATCGATCACGTGTGTGAATTATCGAGAACGATATTTTTCACGATAAATGGATTTCACGGTGTTCGTGTCGTACGAGATTATTGGAGGTTAGGTTCAACAATCGTGTGTGTATAAGAAGGTTCGATACGAAGGATTTCGTTGAAAATGTTTTGCCGGGGAATGCGTCGAGACTACGGAGACGATTAATACGACGATACCCGATGGTTTTTCTCGTCGATCAATAATCGTGGCACTGGTTGGAAAAAGAGAATTTTCCAGGAGGAATGATTTGGGTTCGCCGCGTCTCATTTCGTTTTTACGAAGCACCGAATCGATCACAGGGCCGTCCTAACCTCAAAAGGCGCGCGCCGGCACGCCTCGAACGATACGGGACGCAGCCGATTTATGTATTTAGAAGCGAGAGCGCAGCATGTCAAACGAGACTACACCCACCTGCTTTTCGTCGTTGCTTATTCCCTTCTTCTTTGTCAACTATCTTTTCTTCGTCTTACTGGCGTTTCGTAGCACCCTGGTTACCGGCTTCACTTCGACTATCCGTATTCTCACACCGTCCTGTTTTCTTTTTGTCACCTGGTCGATGGTACATCAAATAAAGCACGTTGCTGTGACTCGCGTGATCGGAGAAAATATGAAATTCGTCGTATATCCTTCTCGTGTAGTTTCCCTATTAATATTTATTCCGAGTGTCGGCGATCGGCGAATTCTGATTCTTCTCGTCGAGTCTGTTTCGAGGAGCCGAGTCGCGGAACAGGCAAAAAGCGATTCGGTTCTTACTGTTAGAAGCAAGCAAACGCGAATAAAGACGATGACTGCTCGTTGCCAGTTTCCTTCATTGACACGTCTTCTTCCTCCTCTCCGTCGCGAACGCGTATCACAGATGGGGAAGGTGAGGAAAAAACGAGGCGAAACAAATA